GCAGCAGCTAAGTTGCTTTGCTTACCTCACAGGAAAATAGTTCCTGTGGGGGAGACACGGGTGTTGGCACATGGCTACAGCTCCAGGAAGAGACATGGAGAGCCCCGAGGATCCTTAATAATGATTTAAATGACAAAGTTGTCTTTTTTAAATTTTTTTTTCTTAAATTTTGCATTTTCTCCTCCTTTCATAGAAATAAAGCTTAAAATGCAAATAAATATAACATTAAAGTGACATCCCCTTCTCCAGATCTCCAGATACTGGCTGACATTCTAACCAGCCATATGCTTTAAAGCTTCAGAGAAACGTACGTAGCACAGTCCCATCAATGACAGCAGCATGACTCCTTGCCTACCAGCAAAGTGATAAACATATTCTTACAACTTCACAAAAATATTTCCACCAATTTGCAGATGCTGAAGTTATGAGAAAATGAATCAAAACCAAATGAAGTGTAAGCTCTACCCTTCTGTAATCTAGTGAAATCTAATACACAAAGTGTGATCCTGTGGTGACAATCCCATGATAAAGAGCCAGATGCACACAAACACATGAATGGTAAATGTTATAATGCTTAGAAGGACAGAGCCCTAGATATAAGTGAAATACAGTAAGTGAATACAACAGATTGAAGTGGTCACATTACAGAATAATGTCTGAAATACTGACCTATGGAAGACTAGCATTTAAAATATACACAACGGACTTCTCTTACCCATCAACCAATATATGGAAAATAACTTCAAATAACAGACTACAACATCTTCTAAAATATCAACATGTGAGAAATGCAACATGATATTGCTCTATCGATTACAGAATGACAGAATGGTTGAGATTGGACGTGACCAGTCCAGATTGTCTAGCGCAACACCTCTGCTCAAGCAGGGTGAACTACAGCAGGTTGCCCAGGATTGCATCCAGTCAGGTTTTGAGTATCTCCAAGGATGGAGACTCCACAAGTTCTCTGGACAACCTATTCCAGTGTTTAACCACCCTCACAGTAAAGAAGTGTTTTCTTATGCATGCAGTTACATGGAACAGCAATGTAGACTGAAAAGTTAAAGCCAGTTTAAACACAAATCCTGCTTAGCGAATGTGCTACAATACGTTTGTGTTAAGACATGTTTGATAACAATGTAGTTGCAAAAAACTATGAAGGGGGCCTGACAAGACAGAAAATGATGAAGGCATGACAGTTATATGACATTCAGAAAACAGCCACAGGTTGGAGAGCAGCTGAAGAGCGCTCCAAAACAGATTCATGAGATGACCAGGAAAGACAAAAATTATGCTGCTTTGTAATGGAGAAGAAATTCCCATTACAGTCACATGAACAAAGCCTGCTTTCTAGTCATGACATGAAATACTGGAAATTTCAGGAAAGAAATCATCATTGGCTCCCTTTGACAGTCTGAAGTAATTACATTTATGTGATAAATGTGGAGAGGGGATTAAAAAAACCCCTACGAGTTCTTCAGGAGGTACAGTCTTTTCTTCTTCCATGTAACAGGACTAGGGAACCTGAGTGGTTATGTTTGAACTCGGCTCTTGGAAATTTTAGAATCATCCTTATTGCTGAATCAGGCCCATACAAACAGCCATCCACCCACATAGTTACTGTTCCCTATTAAATTTAGCACGCAATTCTATTCGGCTGAACAAAGGGCTAGTTTCAATATAATTAAACTGAATGTTGTTTTCTACAAGAGTTGCTTTCTAATTGTCCTGGTTTCGGCTGGGATAGAGTTAATTTTCTTCCTAGTAGCAGGCATAGTGCTGTGTTTTGGATTTAGTAGGAGAAGAATGTTGATAACACGCTGATGTTTTTAGTTGTTGCTAAGTACTGCTCATGCTAGTCAAGGACTTTTCAGCTTCCCAGGCTCTGCCAGGTGCACAAGAAACGGGGAGGGGGCACAGCCAGAATAATTGATCCAACCTGACCAAAGGGCTATTCCATACCATATGACGTCATGCTCAGTATAGAAACTGGGGGGGGTTGGCCAGGGAGCAGCGATCACTGCTCGGGAACTGTCTGGGTATCGGTCGGTGGGTGGTGAGCAATTGCATTGTGCATCACTTGCTTTGTATATTATTATTACTATTATTATTACTACTACTACTATTTTACTTTATTTCAATTATTAAACTGTTCTTATCTCAACCCAGGAGTGTTTCTCACTCTTACTCCTCCAATTCTCTCCCCCATCCCATCGGGGTAGGGGGAGTGAGCAAGCAGCTGCGTGGTGCTTAGTTGCTGGCTGGGGCTAAACCATGACACTAATCAACAGTAGAAAGACCTTTTTTAAAAAGAACTACACGTGAAAAAATTCTATAAACAAAGCTGCTAGCTTTGAGAGATGGAAAATGAGAAAGGCAGTAATTATATAATCACAGCAGATGATGCAGCCACTGCATTCACACTTACCTTGATACCAAAGGTGAAGACTGTCATGATTATTTTGAATATGAGTGCTAAACACAACTGCCATATAGCTGAATAGACTCCAGTGCCTGCTGGACGGTCAGGAATATCATCTACTATTTTGCTCGCATTCATATCATTTCTGTAGTCACAGAGGGAGGAGGATTCTAACGGCCCACAGTCTGTGAAGAGCTCTTTAATAAGCTCACTGGTGTTTAGCCTTGTGTATGGATTAGGAAATGCAATGACAGCTGTTATTGCTGCAACAATAATAACCTCCAGGACAGGATACTTCCCAAATTTCGTAGATTTGCGTCGACGACACCATGCGATGTTTGCTCGGATGAAAAATGCTCCCCAGAGCCCACCAAATACTCCCAGAAGAATAAAAGGAAGCAGTTCAAAAAGGTACCAAGGAGTGTGATATTCTACATAAAAAAGAACTAGGCGGCTATTACCAAAAGGATTGATGGACCTTAAAACAAATGCAGCCACTAAAGCAGCAAAAAATGATCTCCATAAAGTTTTCAGTGGGAAGTAGTAACTGACCTGCAAAAGGCAATACATGAGAATTATTAGCGATTCAATTAAAAATAGTGGAAAGACTGTTTTATGCACGTGGTACAGTACTGCTGCTCACATAGTATATGCTAAAAAAAAGTACTCTCATATTATCAGTATTATTCCTATCACTTGGAGCACTGGTGCTCCATCACATACTACATTTTTATAAAGCTCTACTACAATTCATACTTACATCAGTTTTAAAGACAATACTAAAGCAGTACTGAAACCACTGCTGTTTTAAGACTGTTAGGAAATAATGTGTAGTAATTTATGTTTAAAAGTTTCTCTGTTTATATGTATCTCTTTCTAGCATTTATAAGAACCAGACTGCGTACTAGCTGCTCTCTCAAATTTCCTGCTAGTACTGTTTCAGCGCCATTCAACCTACACTGAAAGGTTTCTGGCAGATGTGTTATTTTTATGAAGTGTGATTAAAACATTTAAAAAAAAAATCCTCAAAACAGAGCATGCAATTTCATACTTAAGGCCCACATAGACTGATGTGAATTTCAAGAGAGTTTTCTTCTGAGTTTTTTTGCAATATTTTTGGCAACAAAGAAATTCCTCAAAATCCCCTAACGATACCAAGAATTTATACATGAAAGAATATTTTGCTTCCTTTTTTCAATTCAGAGATTTCTAATCTTTAGGTTTTTTAAAAATTCTAATGATCTAAATAACTTTCTTATGTATTTTGCAAACAACTAATGAAAACTAATTTAATACAAAACATTTCTTCGAGAAGAGAGTTCGGTTGCCTTGGAGGTCATTTTAATAGCATATTTGCATTTTTAATAATTAACGTATTCAATTGTGTTTAGTATCTGAAATGTTAAGAAAAGTAATATTTAAAAACTTGGTGCATAAAACTGTCAAATAGGTTTCTAAAGCCTCTTTCAAAATGAAAAAAAAGAGCCTGTATTTTTTTTTTTTAGAATACACTCCTAGAGTGAAAAACTGCTGTATCTCTATCTGCATGTAAACTGTAATTATGAACTGACTCAGCCCTTCTCCAGAAAAATATAACTGCAAATAAAGCAAAGCTGACATTCATCCAAAGAAAAGAAAAAATATCTTTAGGAGTTTGCCAGTAACAGGACTCTTGACTTTGAAATGTGTGCCCAAAAATAATTTCCTTCTTAGGAAAGACTCTGGAGCTTAAAGGAGTCTGCGATTATTCATGCTAAAAGAGATTTTTTTTCCATATCTATCCTTCAGTGCCATCTCTTGACATACCTCCTCCAGACTGAAGAGGACTCCACCAATTGGGGCACCAAAGGCCACAGATACTCCTGCTGCTGAAGCAGCTGACAACACCTGGAAAAGAAAAATGGTGAGGGTTTTCCTGCAGTCTGTGATATGCTTTAAACATGAAGAACAGAATCTCATTACATTACCAGTTTCTTCTGTGTTTCTATCAAGGACACACAGACTTGCTAACAGAAAAGCATCAAGTAACTGGATCAGAGTGCTCATAAGATGTGGCCAGTGGCCCCAGCAGCCACCATCTAGGTACTAGCCATGACGAAGCCAAGGACACAGCTCAAAGCCTCCACAGCAAAGCACCCAAAGGAGTCTACGCTTCAGTATGAAACTGCTGATATCTCATTTTTAAGAAATTGTAGTAAGCTTTCTCTGTGCTAGATGTGTGTGGCAAAGAAGTCCACCCATCGCAAATATTATTCAAGGGACAAAAACTGATGACAGACTACATCACTTATATATCAGTCCTGGAGATCTGCGCTCAGTAGTCTTCAAGCAAAAACTTGCAGAAGGATCTGAGGTGAACTGAGATTAAGCGAGAGATTAAGAGAAACTCAAGCAGCAGCAGCTGGTCCTACAGCATCATGGATGAATTATGTTCAATATATGAGGATGGTTAAAGTGAGTGCTAATTATAACAAAATTGGGCAAATTCCTTGCAAAAACCCTGACACCCAGGTAGCAGCCCTTATATGCCTGTGGAAGAATACACAGAGGAACTCAAAGAATTATTACGTTATTGTGAGATAAGCAGCTAAACCACAGGTAAGTTAAATGATTTAAGAATAAACGGCTTTGAAATAGGAAGTGAACCCAAATTTCCCATGTTCTGCGGTCTCCTTCTAGAAGTTGGGCCTGAGAACTGAGGCAAAGCTGGGACGACACCCTTTTTTATCTTACAATATGAAAATTTTATTGAATTAATAAATACGTTAAATCTTGCTACTCTCTGTGCCCACACTTGCTTTCATTAGCATGGCACGCTCTATTGGGTTTAGGTGACAAGGTTTTGGTAGCGGGGCGAGGGGGGGCTGCAGGGGTGGCTTCTGTGAGAAGACATCAGAGGCTACGCCCACACCCAGCAGAGCCAGTTCCAGCTGGCTCCAAAATGGACCTGCCAATGGCCAAGGCTGAGCCTGCCCGTGATGCTGGTAGTGCCTCTGTGATAAGGAAGATAAGATAAGGAAGGGTAAAAAGCACTGCACAGCTGTGAGAGAGAGGAGTGAGAATACATGAGAGGAACAGCCCTGCAGACACCAAGGTCAGTGGAGAAGGATGGGGAGGAGGTGCTCCAGGTGCTGGAGCAGAGATTCCCCTGCAGCCCCTGGTGCAGCCCATGGTGAGGCAGCTGTGCCCCTGCAGCCCATGGAGGCCCATGGTGGAGCAGATATCCACCTGCAGCCCGGGGAGGACCCCACGCCAGAGCAGGGGGATGTGCCCAAAGGAGGCTGTGACCCTGTGGGAAGCCCACGCTGGAGCAGGCGCCTGGCAGGACCCGCGGACCCATGGAGAGAGGAGCCCAGGCTGGAGCAGGTTTGCTGGCAGGACTTGTGACCCTGTGGGGGACCCACGCTGGAGCAGTCTGCTCCTGAAGGACTGCACCCTGCGGAAAGGGCGCAAGCTGAAGTAGTTCATGAATGTCTCCCTCCCATGGCTCGGACCCCACGCTGGAGCAGGGGAAGAGCATGAGGAGGAAGGAGTGGCAGAGACAAAGCGTTACAAACTGACCACAGCCCCCATTCCCCATCCCCTTGTGCTACTTTGAGACAGAAGGGTCAGGAGTGAAGTTGAGCCTGGGAATAAGGCACAGCTGGGGCAAGGTGGTTTCAGTTTTGTTTTTATTTCTCACTATCCTACTCTGTTATTAATTGGCAATACCGTAATCTTCCCCAAGTCTAGTCTGTTTTGCCTGTGATGGTAACTGGTGAGTGATCTCGCTGTCCTTATTTGACCTATGAGCTTTTCATCTTATTTTCTCCTGCTGTCTTGCTGAGGAGGAGGGGTGAGAGAGCGGCTTGTTGGGCACCAAAGCTAACCCACCACACACTCACTACCAACAACAAAATGAAACAGAGCAGAAACATGGTTGTCACCAACCCTTTTCCAGGAATACTTTGTTGACAGGTTCAAAAGTCCTCTGCTGTCCTCACAACTAAGACGCTCATCGATTACCAAAATGTAGAGCCAAGAACAGAAAGAATTTAAGTAAAATCAAATGGTCTCTGATGTAGGAGAAACCCAAACTTACTCTGACATGGAAGCAATTTACCTTGGAGAATGCTAGGGATAATACAATGTTCTTAACACAATAAATAACATTGATAATTCAAGCCTAAACACTGTCCGAGAGAACAAGTATCATCTTTTAAACAAACTGGTGTAAATGCACAGATATTCAACATGCTTTTGCAAGAACTCACCTCTCTTTTTTTAGCTTCATTTGTGCTGTACTTTGGAAAGAGGTAGGAAAAAATATTCCCACAGCAGCAGGCAACATGTACCAAGGGACCCTCTTTTCCTAAACTCAAACCTGATGCGACAGCCAAGACTAAAGTAATTGTTTTTATCATCAAAGTCCACTTCCCCAAGTAACCTCTGATGATGAAGCCACTCAAAATAGTTTTTATCTGGAAGAAAGAAAAAAATAATATATCCTTTGTTCAGAAAATAATTACTTTTATCAATTTAGTTGCATAACTTCAAAAATAGCCTTTTCAAATGACTAACTTTATCACACTTTAAAACATGTACTGTTCAGATTGCTACACTGAGTCCATCTGGTTGCCAGAGGCTTTCCATTTGCAAGTTACTCTTAAACACTGGACAATAACATACAGCAACATTATCAATTACATTTAGTAGGAAATTAATCTGCAGTAGCTTCTAAAACTGCATTCATTGGTTTATCATGTAAATTATCACATGAAAGTCAGAAAACTCCCAAAGGAGAAATAAACCTGCAAAAACTATACTCAAGGTCATCTACTGTAGCAATATCACATTTGCACCAATTTTACCCCTCTCTGTTTTCTCCTTATGTTTTACCATCTCTATATAAAAATTTAACAGTGACATAAAGATGGAAAAGATCAGCCTTTTCCCACTAGAAAAGATGTGCCACTTGCCTAAGGTATTACTTTGCCTAATGGTGTCATACTATTAGCCTGTAAAATATGCCCATATATAGGAAATAATATAGTTATCATAGGAAAGGACAACGTCTATAAATAGGATACACACAAAACACTGGGCAGCTGTGTCTAGAAAGTAAAGGTTAGCTAAATCTGGAAACCAATTTAGGATGAAATCTCTTCTGGAGTAACAGCACAGAACTACTCCAGGCTCATTCAGAGGCAGGATTTGTCCTTCAACTTCTACAGTACACATACATAAATAAATATTTACAGAATGACTGGAGAAGTGAGACTGACCAGACTTTGACTTTGGGTTTTTTCCCTCCCTTTCTGTGTATAGCAGCAGACAGCAATTGTAGAAAGAATGAGATTTTGAGGATATTAAACATTTTACTTTGTGACTGTCTGATGGTTTGTGCTAGTTAAGGCGATTAAAGCCAGTGGAACAAAAGATCAATTGCTATACCAAAGGACCGTATCCTGTCAATGAACTACTGCTCTCTTATCAGCGGAGGGAGGTCGGGATTGGGGGAGCTCTGGAAATCACTCTTCAGAAGTCCACCCTCTTAAGCTAAACGCTTCCTTAAAAAGTAGACCAGCCAGAAGCATACAGCAAAATCTACAAACTCAGGAGGTTCTCTGACATTTGGGGTATTTTTCTGAGCGACAATCAGCACAATTACATTATTTCAGTTTGAATACTTGTATTAATGTATTTCATCAAAGTCACAGGGCGCTCCCTCTTGCCTTCCCCTGACCCTGTAAGGCAGAATATTAACATGAAACATCTGTAATGTGTACATTAGTTAGACCTCACCTCAGGTATCCCCGAGCCACAGGCATAGGGAGCAAATACCTTCACCAGAGAAACTGCTAAGAAGGCAAAGCTCAAAGCCCAGAAAATGTACATTATGTAGTTCATTATGTATGAACCTGGACCCTAAAAGCAAAAACAAAACCGAAAAAAAAAGTCAGAATATAAATTTGATGCAGAAGCAAAATCACTACTTAAAATAACCCAGAAGTACTCTTGCTGCAAGCACACTTATGCACACATTTTGAGGGACAGTAATTATTACCAGTAATTATTACCAAGCCAAGGAAGAGTGAGTTTTGTTTAAAAAGCATAAAGTCATGACACCTGCACATCAGCAAAGACTGGGTTATACAAGGTAGAAAGTGTTCTAACACTTCATCTTAAAAAGGAAAAAAACATAGCACAGGTATTTTTTAATAGCTATTAGCTGCTAAAATCTACTGAATACTGAGTAAATCGTCTTTATTTAAAAAAAAGATTTGTGGTAGAAAAACTAAAACCAATCTATTCTTAGTTATCAGAGAACACCACAAATTTCATTTTTATTTTTTTATTTATAGCTATGATCAAGAATAGAAATTCTCACGTCATCAACAGTTATATACTCTCGTAACTTCCTTACACCTGCAACACTCCAAGCCCCCGGCAGTGCACATTTATTACACTATGACCTATTAATCAATTCAAATGCTGAAAAACGGAGCAGACAGTACAATCCAAATCTGTGTTTAGTACCCTGACCTTTAGACCATTATTTTCTTTTCATGTTCAGTCCAGCTGTTGCACAAGACCATCAAAGAATGGGAACTTACTTCTGCTTGCCCAATTATTAGTTCTGCCCATGTTTTCCACTGCGGACATTTATCTCTCTCTTCAAATGTAGTCTCATTTGAACCCCAACAACACTGTTCATGGTTAAACCACAAAGCACTAAGGCAAATGCCTTCCTTTAAGTCAGTCATCCAGTCAGCAGCAATGTCAATTAATCCTGCCAATGCCCCTGTTGTAGAAACAGTTTTGTATTAATATTCTGGTAAATAGGAATAACAGACCCAGCTAAAATGAAGAAATGTGCTGGTATTAATTGATGTAAATTGAAATTACAGAAAACCTAAAGAAACAGACATTTAAAGTACTACTGATTTCCAGGAATATATCCTATTTGCAACATGGTAAGATAAGTATTTGCTGAATAATCTCGTACCTTGTATAGTTCAAGTTTGTTTTTTTTTTTCTTCCTATGCCACAGTTCTCCAACAGTCCACTGAAACTAAGGAGTTAAGAATCAAAAGAGGTCTGATACCTTTTGTGATGAGAAAGACAACAGACCTTCTGACAAAACTACCTTGGCATGCCCCAGAGAACTCATGAACTACTCTACTATGTTTTGTACAAAGCAGCACATTTGGAGAAAATAATTCTTACCTTGCCAACAACAGTTTTAGAAAAAACATAAATAAAACACCAAATTAACCCTGATGACATTCATGCGATCCATACACAAAATGACTTAATTCTGTAACATGGTGGGCACGTAAAATTCCTACTGCAGGTAACAAACAGTATAGATACTAAGCAGTTCACAAACTCAAAGCTTAAGAGGGATTCTGTGTTGTAACTACATGCAGAAAACTTGCTGAAGAGTCCTCAAAAAACAGGCATTACTTAGGAAATTGCTTCAAAGGATTTTAAAAGTTTTTTTTTTTAATTTTTTTATATTTTTTTATATATTTGTATTTTTTATATTT